TCCTACTCAGGATTGTCAGACGGACACAGACATTTGTCCTCCGACTGAAATCTGTCATGAGTCAGATATGGTTGGATCTGTAAGTCTCCATGACGACGACTCTCCACATAAAGAGGACCGTCCACAGACAGTCAGACACCAGAAGAGTGTTTCTATGTGGAGACGCTTTAAAAAGTTTATGACTCCGGCGTGTCGACGGAAACACAAAACCACGTCATAAACAGATCATGTGACTGGTTGAACACCCCCCCCCCCACACATACACACACACAAAACACACACAGCCAGAGGAAAAAAACGGGGCTGCATGTTGGAGACGATGTAGAAAGTTTAGCTTCACAGCGAGGTCACCGGTTCAAATCCTTTCCATGTGAATTTAGCATTTTCTCCCTCATGTATGCGTGGGTTTTCTCCGGGTGCTCCGGTTCCTCCCACACATCTCTGGCTGTGTGTGAGTAAGTAAGTGAATGCGTGAGTGAGTGAGTGAGTGAGTGAGTGAGTGAGTGAGTGAGTGAATGCGTGAGTGAGTGAGTGAGTGAGTGAGTGAGTGAGTGAGTGAGTGAGTTAGAGCTGGGCGATATCACCCAAAGTCAATAGAACAGTATAAAGAGGATTTCACCTAGATAACGATACATGGACGATAGCTACAGGCATGCGCAGAAACAAAAGTTGTCACATGTATTACGCTGAGTCAATGGCCGTGTTCGAGTTGAGCCGCGCCTCGCCTGGAAAAGAGACGAGAGCAGACGGACGCAGCAGGGGGAGTGGCTGAAAGCCGGCATTTAAGTGGGACAGATTTCCCTACATGTGTAGCTCGCGGGTGACGATGGGTGAAGATATCGCGTTAGAATTCATACTTGTTTAATTTTTTATTTTAATTCTGGTGCCTGTTAGCAGCTGAAACACATCCTCACATGCTTGTGGATATCATATGTTGTAGACATGTGCACATGAAGACATGACTGTTGTCAAAAGTAAAGCTTATCAGCTGTAGTTTTAGTGTGCTCATAGGAAACGTGACAAAAAAAGACAAAACACATGTGACCAACAAACATTTCGCATTCTTCCACCGGATGTTTGGATCAAGATGGGAACCAATCAGATCTTAGATCAGGTGAGAGCCAGGCGTTTCCCATCATCAACCGGTGGAGAGCAACTGCAGAATTTTGCTCCAAAATCTGCGGCCGCCTTGATCTCACGATGCCTACGTAGGCATGCCGTAAGAGCAAGTCGGACACAAATCTAACCGGCATGCACTGCCCGCCGATCACCGGTGATCTAATCTGCGCAGAACTGGCTCATCTCGAACACGGCCATTTTTACATGACTCAAAGCTTCTTAAAGGGACATGAACGTTGCCAACCATCACACATATTTTCTTTTTTTAATGATAAAATCTATTGACACGGCAAAATGATCTCGATAAGAGTCAGACATTTTGATTACAATGCATTTTTTATTTATTGCCCAGCCCTAGAGTGAGTGAGTGAGTGAGTGAGTGAGTGAGTGAGTGAGTGAGTGAGTGAGTGAGTGAGTGAGTGAGTGAGTGAGTGAGTGAGTGAGTGCATCCCATCCGCTGAATCACCACCTTAACGCGGTGGCTGGGTTTGAGCATCTCTATGAAGGCTGAAGGCCGTTGTGTCGGGGTCTCGGCTCCAGGTGAGTCTACCCTGGCAGAGCTTTCTCAGCTGAGAGGTCAGACTAAGAGTGATTCAAAGACTTATTTTATAGAAAACCATGAAAAGATGCTTTTGTCACACTTCACACCCACTTAGGTGTTGGCATGCACAGTTTTCCTGGGGCTTTTTAGTGATTGTGCTGCAGAGAAATCAGTAATTATATTAAATGTTATATTTAGTTAAAAACCGTGGTTTGCATTTTAAGAAACATGCCTATTACCTCCCTCTCTCGTCATCAGTGTTTAACTTGTTGTTTTCATGTTCAGCGACAGCTGTTATAACGTTGATGTGCATGTAATCAGTGCAATAAACACTTAATCTGGAAAAAAATCATGAGAGAATTGAGATCTCACTTCTAAGCAAAATCCTGATTCTCATTTTAACCAGAATTGTGCAGCCCTAGTATGCGCATGTCTCAATCTGCCTAGCCAGCTAAAACTCTGACGTACGTGACGCCAATTACTCTTCTCCACCAGAGAAAAGGATCTCTTGATTAGAAGTGTGCATCCCCACAAATGTTACATAGTATCTTGATTTTGGGCCTCTATAGCCTCATTCTTGTGCTGGCGGGCAGGTCCCCTTTCACTGTTCTGGAAGGTGATGGACTCGGGTTCACTTTCTTGCAAGAAAGGTGAGCTGGTTCCACAGGCCGATACAGGGCACTTTTTATATATATACATATATATTAGTGGTGTGCATCTCTACCTGCCTCACGATTCGATCCGATTCCGATTATCTGCCTAACGATTCGATTTGAGTCTGACATGCATCACGATTCTTCACACAAAAATTTTCATTACTTAATAAAAGCAGTAGAATAGTTTTCAATTTCTTTTTGATTTCGAAATCCCTGAAAAACAGAACATTCATCTATTCACTAAAGTGAGCAATAATTTTTAAAGTGTGCTGCCTATAATTACTTAACTAATATAATAAAAATATTTTCGGTAGAGCAGCTTTCAGATAGAATATTACTGAACTTAAAAATAGTAAACAAATACTGTGTTAAGTGATTCTTTCACATCCAGGATCCCAAAACCGAAATTAGCCCAGACATCCGATTTAAATGTAACGGGTACATCTTTGATTACTGGTAATGTTGGCCCTGTCCGCCTTTTCTGTTTTAAATTGGCGCTAGGGCAACGCAGTGCGCATGTCAGTGCAACTCTGCCCCCAGAAGTAATTGTAAAACCTCAAAACTTTATTGTCCTGCATGGACATAGACCAGGGGTCGGCAACCTGTTCCCATCAAAGAGCCATTATTACCCGTTTCCCCCAGTAAAGAAAACACTGGGAGCCACAGCAGCCGCGGCGTTGTGGGCGGGGCCTACCCTCAGACAGCAGAGAGCTGCTCACAACAGTTGACAGCAGCAAGTACCGGTCGCTCGTGTACGTCAAAGTTATCTTTCATAAGACAATAATCAATAAAACGATTTATATAAAGTGGATCCAGAAGTTGTAGCCCGTCTCTGCCTACAATATTTTGATATTTTTCACCCTGTTGGTGGTTTTACTGAGCAGGTGCCACTTTTGTCATACGTTTCTTTTTTAAACATATTTAGACTGTTCAGAATACAAATCCAGGCTCTGTCACATTTGATTGTTGTAATTAAACTTTGTAGGTGGGGAAGGTCAGAAAAGGATCCGATCATTTTGTTTTTCCCTCATTTACAGTGACGGAGATAACGGCGCAGTGCGCCTGGCTCTGGTGTTAATCAAGTTAAATTATATCTCTTTGCAACAATTTTCACAAGAAAACAGAACAGTTAAAAGCAGGGCTTGTGTTGACCGGACAGTTCCCGTATTTGACCGTTTATTTTGACGGAGAAAGAATAGAAAGAATTACCCCGACGCAAGCAGACAAACTGACTTGATTCGTTTTGTACATCGCAGATGTAGCTAAATCACTCAAGAAAAGATTCCCATCTGAACATCTGAGCTGGACACTGCTCAGCGCAGCTCACTGTCAGCGTGTACTACATAAGGTCCACAGCAAGTTGAAGATGTGGAGAGGGGCTTGGAGCGCATTGCAGAACCAGAGCGCATGCAGGAAGATTCCTCCGACTGAAGCGAGACTTGCCGCTTAGAAAATGTTGCCAGATTATGAAGCTTTGGCTGAATAGCGCTTGTTCCTATCTCCAATGTGGCAACATATCCAGGAGCCGTCTGAGGAGAATCCCAGAATCTCACCTCCTCGTCAGCTGAGAATGCGCCGATATTATTACTCACAAGCGTGACACGTCAACCCGGTCACACAGTAAGACCGGGTTGGACCTGTTCAGGTTTACGCAGACAATCTTTACATTTAGAATTGGCATACAGATGTAAAATGAATGCAGTAAAATATAAAGTATTTTATTTAAATATCCATTCATTATTTTACAAGCACAGAGAGCCGCATCAGATGGATGGAAGACTCGCATGCCGACCCCCGACATAGACATAGGGAGAAAATCTCATTATGTCACGTTGCTGCATCGATGCGGAATCATGCACGGCTGAATCGAGTTGCATCTTAGAATCGATCATTTTTCCCACCTCTAACAATCATATTGTCATTTTAAATGTTATATTTAGTTAAAAACCGTGGTTTGCATTTTAAGAAACATGCCTATTACCTACCTCTCTCATCATCAGTGTTTAACTTATTCAAAAGTTGTGTACTTAACCCTCATTTACTAAGTCCTTCAGGGGTACTTCTGAGTTAAAAATGCTCATGAAATATGTATGTGGAGTAACCAGGTAGGTAGGTTTTAACACCTGCCTCCAGAGGGTTAAGAGACGATGAGAGACATTTATTGTTTTCATGTTCAGCGACAGCATGTAATCAGTGCAATAAACACTTAATCTGGAAAAAAATCATGAGAGAATTGAGATCTCACTTCTAAGCAAAATCCTGATTCTCATTTTAACCAGAATTGTGCAGCCCTAGTATGCGCATGTCTCAATCTGCCTAGCCAGCTAAAACTCTGACGTACGTGACGCCAATTACTCTTCTCCACCAGAGAAAATGATCTCTTGATTAGAAGTGTATATATATACATATATATATATATATATACACTGTAAATTGCATTTTGGCCTTTTTGTTGTCCCAACGTTTGATTTCATGTTAATATAGCAAGGCTTTTGTAATGTTGTTGTTATAAATTAGAATAATTAGTTAAACACATCTCAACAACACTAAAAATGTTAAACAATAATTTGATGTCCAGTGAAATAAATTATCCAAGTCTACGTGACTTTTGAGCATTAAAATGTATGTCCACTGGGTGGCAGTAAGTGGTGCAAAGTTTGTTTCGCATGTGCCTTTGACAACGGAAGAAGAAGTCAACGGAGCTCTCAGCTCAGTCAAGCAGTCTTTCATGCGTGCAACGTTCTGTCGGCTTGCTTCAGAAGGACTAACGCCGGGGACACACCGGCCGCGGAAGCGCCGCTAAGCGCCGAGAAGCGAATCGCTCACGAAATTCGGCCACTGCTCGCCGCTCCTCAGTTCAGATCAGACGCGCCCCAGTCGATGCGCGCCTCGGCTCAGCTGTAGTTTTTCTTTTAAACACTTGGTGTCCTCCATTTCCTCTCTGCCTTTTCTCAGCTCTTTTCCTCTACGTTTGAGTGTTTGTACGCGCGCGCGCATCTGTGTGTGTGTGTGTGTGTGTGTGTGTGTGTGTGTGTGTGTGTGTGTGTGTGTGTGTGTGTGTGAACCTATGGTATGAGTTGTTTCTGCCAGTTGAATCTGTTGGAACCTGCTCCAATTCTGCAGCTGTATCCTAGCAGTTTCTTCCGAAATGGGTACGTAAATAATCATGTTTTTCGGGGGTCGTGCAGCTCCTTGTGTTTCTCAACTTCCATAATTAATTTAAAGTCATCCATCTTAACTGCTTGCCTCAGACTTTCTGCCTCTCTGTCCTGTTTGCTCCGGTGAAAAGACACCCAAAACCACACCCCCCTTCACTTGGTCACACACGCACACAAGTTCGATGTGTGTGTATGTGTGTGCGTGTTCGTGTGGTTTTTCTGCAGTGTCTGTTTACGAACACATTTGACAATTGCGGAATTTTATTTTGAAATGCTTTATTTTGTTAACTTTACCGGCCTGCCTCTTATGTCTACGTTTGACTTCCTGCCAGAATTGACGCGATTCACCCGCGGCACGCGAAAAAAATAGAGCCAACGCCGAAATGATCGCTGCACGGCACGGGCTGGAGCGCCGCGAGGCGATTCGCGGCGCTTCGGCGGCCCATGTGGTCTATAGAATAGCTTAACAAGGGCGCCGAATGAAGGCGGTCCCATTTTCGTGGCGCTTCCGCGGGCAGTGTGTCCCCGGCGTAACGACTCCATTTAGGGTTAAAACTAACTACTTTGTCCATTTAAAGGTGACACTGAACGAGTTCAACAGAGGCCCACCTCTTTGGTAAGTTTTCTTTGGTTTTATGTTGAATTTGAATTTGTTAGTTGTTCAATAGCATTAGCTTGATTAGTCATAGTGAAATGAATAAATAAAAGGTCTGAACCTGAAAGTAAATCGTGTAATTCTAAGTTGAATGTTGAATGCAACTTAGTATATCTTATATTTGAACGTTAGAAGTAGGTAACTCGCTGTTTGTTGGTTAGCATAGCAGGGTTGGCGGGGAAATTGTTTTGGGAAATGTTTACTCGGTAACACGTTAATTAACCTTTTTTCCGAAAACGTATACTCATAAAATTAAGCTAAATGCTCAAAGCCGGGTCCACATGGGCGCATCTGTGGTGCGAAACAGCAGGGAATCTTGCAGCATCTCGGCCGTTCTTTTCGCTAAACTTGCGCGATAGCAATCCCACGAGACTTCAAATGTCTCGGTTTGTTTATGCCATCCGCCATTAAACCAAGACGAAAAATTACATTACGTTTGAGATCTCTGTTTGATGTTATTGTATACTGCCGTGCCTCTCCACTACCAGGGTTAAAACCGTAAAAAACACTTTTCGAACCATGCTGAGGGTAAATCAGCCGTGAGGTTACACGTGTGGACATAATCTACATAGATAATAAATCGCATCTCTGTAACAGACTTTTATTTTGACTCGTACCGGTCATTTTAGACTTATGCCGTGTGTGTGTGATTTCCTGTCTAGGCCTTTAGAGCTCCAGACGTCACGTGACTCAGAGAGTAGACGCCATGTTGGCAGGCAACAAAGGTAAACAAAATGAATGGGATCGGCTTGGATTTTACTCCGTCGGCGTTTACTTCACACTTTAAAACCAAATAAATTGTTTTATACAGTCAGTATTCATTTAAATAATGAAACAGAAATAATTAATAAAAAAATAACATCAGTGTAATTAGCTATCGTTTCTAAATGTCTAAAATAGACTTGCTCTGTTCTTTTAGAGCTTCACTAGTGCTGCTGATTGTCCATAATTGGCTTCCACCACACTTTGAAGGTAAGGTAATTCCTACATATAGTTTTTTTTTTGTACCAGAGCCAGAGTTCTACTCTCTCAGTATTAGGTGATACTTGCAAGTTAGTTCTGTGAAATGTTGACATATCATTAATTATTGACCTAAGTTTTACCTATTTCAGATTCTATTTTGAAGGTGCCCATGGTGAAAAGGCCTTTTACACCGTATGAAGTGGACCTGTAAACTTTGTACTTTTTTCTGTGGAAATCGTAAGCGCATCATTGAACATTATCAAAGCAGTCACAGACATTACGGCAGAACTTGCCCTTTGCCCTGCACTTAAAATTACTGCTCACAGTATTTCAGATCCAAACAATCCTTGCATGTCCATCTGAGAGATCATTGACTTATTGAAAACACTAATGAACTCATAAGCTTTAAGGTAAAATGTTTGTTGTGTAGCTTTAATAAGGCAGTTGGCCACAAACAATTCATTTCACATCTAGGACAGCATCTGTGTGATATGGAAAGTGTTTCATGTCCATTTAATAACTGTCTTTTCAAATCCAATGTGTTTTCCAGTTTTACCTCACACAAGTCTCGTTGCCACCAAAACTGCACTTTAAAAGATTTTAAGACTGAATTTATCATTCAGGAATTTGAAACAAGACAATTTTCAGACTGCAGCGAAGTAGAACCGCAGTTGGATACAGATGAAGGGGAGTTTAATGTGCCAATTGATAATGGCACTGATTTTGAACTAGAGTTCTATGACACCAGTGAAGAAATTCAGAAAAGACTTGCTTCCTTACTTCTGCGCATGCAAGCAATTTTGCATGTCTCTAAATTAGCCACAGAAGAAATTGTCAGAGAATTTTATGACATTGGTCTTTTGATTGGGGATTTAAATGAGTACAGGATTAAGAATGTTCTGAAGCACCATAGTGGTACTGTTGATGAAAACACCATTAATTTGGTAACAGATGCTTTACGCAATCTAAGTCTTCTCAGTTCTATTTCTCAAAGTGGGTGTCTCGGATAAGAACAAAAAAGGTTATTGTATTTCAGAGCAAAGTTTGATGTCATTGATCCAGTCGAATATGTATTAGATTTGCCATCAAAGAAAACATATGTGTATGTCCCAATTCTTAGAACCCTACAGAAACTATTAAATAGAGGTTATATTATTGACATAATCCTTGAGGAAGCTAGTAAAGAGTCCCAGACTGGACATTACAAAACCCTGTTTGACGGGACATGTTTCAAGCAAAACCTGCTTCTCTCAACAGAAGAACTTTGCGTTTTCTTAGGCTTGTATATTGACGATTTTGAAATCTGTAACCCTTTAGGCACCTCAAAAAAAAAAAAAAAACACAAGGTGTGTACAATATACTGGGTTATAGCCAACTATTTATTATTCAGGTCATCATTGTCAAACATATATCTTGCTCTTTTGTGTAAAAGTGTTGATGCTAAGACTTTTGGTTATGAAAGGATTGTTGAACCGCTTTTGCAAGATCTGCAACTTCTGGAAAGTCAAGGCATTTACATTAGCAGGTTAGGAAAAAGTATTAGAGGTTCAGTGTTGTTTGTATCATCTGATAATTTGGGCGCTCATTCATTTGCTGGCTTCCAGGAATCCTTTAACACTGACAAGTTTTGCCGTTTCTGTTTAGCCAGCCGTAGTGACATTCAGCAGTTTTCTGTACTCAATAAGTCGTTTGAACTGAGAACCAAACAATCTTTCAATGAGAATGTTTCCAAGTCGAAGGAGAACAAGACATTGAAACATGTTGATGGAGTGAAAAGAGATTGTGTATTAAACAAACTGTCTTACTTTCATTGTGTAACAGGGTTTCCTCCTGGCTTCTTACATGACCTTTTAGAAGGTATTGTACCTCTGGAGCTTTGTTTTTGTTTGAAAAAACTTGTTGCAAGGGGCTACTTCACATTGTTTTTTTTAAACACTGATAGAGCAATTTCCTTATACGTTTTCTGACAGAACCAATCGTCCACAGAAAACATCAGAAAAAATTCTTGTGAGTAAAACTATTGGGGGTAACGGACACGAGAATTGGACTCTTCTAAGATTGCGGCCCCTACTTATAGGGCATGTTGTTCCTGAAAATGATGACATATGGTCTTTAATCCTAGAACTTAAAGACATTGTTGAGCTTTTGTCTTCCTCCAAGTTTACAGATGAAAGTTTGTGGTACCTTGAGTCCAAATTTAATGAGCACAGAAAACTGTTACTGAACGTGTTTCCAGAACTGAATCTGAAACCAAAACACCACTTCCTGGAACACTATACACATTTGATCCGTTGCTTTGGACCCCTAGTAAATTTCTGGACATTTCGTTTTGAAGCTAAACATAGCTTTTTCAAGAAAGTGGTCCGTGACGTTAATAACTTCAAAAACATTCTGTTGGCTTTGTCTGTCAGACATGAACTTATGTTGACATACTACTTGGACATGGCTAGCTTGTTTAAACCAAATGTGGAGCTGAAAGGGGTATCTGATGTTTCCATGGACATTCTTGCCTTCTCTGTGAAGCAAATAATTGAGAGGAAATGTGGACATCAAAGCAGTGTATCTCTGGCAACAACTGCATACATACATGGAACAAGATACACTAAAGGAATGTTTGTTTCAGTTGGTAGTACAAGTGGACTTCCTGATTTTTGTAGAATTGTACATGTGTTGCAAGTTTGCAACAAGATTTTTTTTTGTTCTTGAATGTTTCTCAGCCTGGTATTTGGAGCACCTTCGTTGTTACGAAGTCTGCAAGAAAGATCCAGATCAACTGATTGTCGTTGAACCCAGTGAACTGAACCACTAACTTCCACTGTCATCCTACACTGTCCAAGGCCGACTGGTGATTTCTCCAAAGGTGTTTCTTGTACATTGAGGTGAATTATTTTATTGTTTTGGCAATTTTCATTCTTTCTCCAAATGTTTGTCACCCTAACAGTAGTAAATGGAGCTGAAATACTTCCATGAATGGTGTCAACGTTTTGTCATCTCTGAGCCATTGGATGGTACTTAAATGATACAAGACAGTACTAAGAGCTCATCATCCAAACATGTTTTTGTAAGCTGAACCTTGTAAAATTTTAGCAATATTGTCCACAGACAACCTTGTAATGTATTTGTTTTGTTTACTTTGTTTTGCACAGTTTCATCATGCTGCTGCGCATCATCTTATCTGAAGATGACATTAGAAGGATTACACTTGACAGCTTACCAGAAGATGTTCAAAACTTCCACTCCATACTAAAGGCCAAACTTGGACTGGATTTGGACTTTGTGATTCAGTATCAAGACCCAGACTTTGATAAAGATCTGTGCAACTTAACCTGTATGTCAGATCTTCCTAAAGATAAAGCAACTTTGAAAGTGTGCATCAAGAAAAATGAATCCTATCACACCGACTCCACCCTAGACACAGCAAGTCTGTCATCATCCTCCTTGGATGAAGGACCCAGTGGCACCAAAACTCGTCAGCTTCCCCAGCCTTTCATCGTCCCTTTATTTTCTTTTGATGTTGAACTACAGCTGAAGAAAGGAAATGAGGCCTTCCATCATGATGGAACACTTCTGGATATATCAAAAAACATGAAATCTGACCTCCTGGACAAGTTGGCTGAAGCCATATATTTTCACAATCCATATCCAACCTGGGAAGACTATGATCTAGTGGCCCAACAACACCCTTGTCTAAAAGAACCGGGCTCTGTACATGGATGGTATTGCTGGAAGTTCAGCTTAAAGTTCAAAATGGGCAACTTTCATCAGAAAATGTGAGTGGCTGGATGCTCTGAATTTGGAGTGAATGCTCGTGACTCTGGGCTACCTTCCAAAAAACTTGAGGGCCAAAAAGTCAGAAGTTAATTTTCTGCCAAGCTTTCCTGAAGGGAAAGGTGAACCAGATCTTGAAAGGGAGAGATCTGCCATAATTGTTGAGATGACAAAAAGAAAAGCTGACTGGAAGCAAGTTGGTGAAATGATGAACATCACATTCCCCCTACGAAGAAAAGAAATAGTTGAAAATGAACCTCTTGTGGCTGAAGTCAAAGAAAGGTGGCCAGCCCTGTTCAAAGAACAGCAGGTACGTTTCGTTTTTTCTCTTTCACACATTTGTCAACTTTTTGTCTTTTTTAAAAAGTTGTGTAAAGTTGCAAATTTTATTGTTGTCACCTTCAATTACAGATTGAAGCAGAGTTTGCTCGGCTGACAACTGTTGACCTGAAGAAGTCTTTCTTCAGTGGACTGGATCAGCATTTGCCAAGGTTCCTGGAGCTGTTCAAGGCCAAGAGTGGGAAATCAGCTGGACTAAGCAGGCAGCTTAAATGTCTTGATGATGACGTAAGCAAACAAATGTTCACGTATTTTTGTTAGTATTAGTAACATTTCCTTTGGAGATTATTTACAGTTTTACCAGTTTTCAGTATTTAACAGTATTTTCTATTTTCTAATATAAAGAAGAAGAAAATTATGTTAACATTTTGTTGGGTTATTGTCTTTGGGTGAATAGAATTCAGTCATGCCTTTTAGAAAATCCTTCAAATAGAAATTATCTTTGAAACAATCTGCCTGTGTAAATTTAGCAGAAAAAAAGCATGTTTCTTCACAAAACCATTACCACAACCCCAGTAGCTTTCCTATAGTGATAGGTCAGAGTTGAAAAACTTATCAGAAAAATTCTATTCCAAAAACTATAGTATTTAGAATTTCAAAATGGCAAAAGGCTGCCAAATCCCCCCCTCCCAATAAAACAAAAACAGAAAAACTGTCAGTCAACACAAATTCTGTAGCAGACTTCTATTGCAGTACAGGTTTGTAAGAAGAATTTGAAGTGAAAATGTCCAACTAATCAATTGAATATAGAAAACAGAATAAAAGAATCAGGATATCAATAATTTGTTATTCTCTTTATAATTAGTTGTTTTGTCTTTGTTTTTTCTCAGTCCTCTATGCTGAGGAAGAGATCAGTTGTTCTGCTGGGCCTTCCGTATTTTCTCAAGGATGATCCTTCAAATGCATTCAAGACTGTTCAGGTGAGCATTTGTATCAAAAATGATCTGTGAACAATTTCTTTATAAGTGAAAGTAGTGATGTGACATTAGATGTAGTTATACAAAGAAGGGTTTTAAAGCCATACTATGCAACTTTTCATATTCTTAAATCACTTTCTGGAGCCAGTATGTGCTAAAATGAACCTTTGCAGGGTGATGAAATGTCACACAGACCCTTAACGCCCTCCGTTCTGCAGCTCTCCTCCATGACGGGTGGGGGGTGGGGGGGTGGGGGGGGTACACATTCCGCTGCTGTTTCTCACCAGTGTCAGCTGATGGAGAACTTTAGTTCCGTTGTGCTGTTCGTGTGGGGGGCGGGGCATGACGCTTAGCCTGGCGGGTGGGCAAACAAAGCCTGCTTTGCCAGGCTTATAAAGCACTGGGGGACACCCTGAAATATGAAAAAGTTGCAAAGTATGCCCTTAAAAGGGCAAACGCACAGCGAGGAGACACGTTTCAATTCTGCTTTGACCATAGACAGACACCAGGGGGCACTAAAAACGAGCAAAACTGCCTAGTCTCCTTTTAACAAGGTTGTCTGTAGAATTATCCAAATATTGCAAGGGGTCATAGTGAGTAATTTGCTTTATAACTTGTGTAGGCCATTGACGAGGAAGCCACATTCAATCGAGGATTGAAAGCTGGAGTTCTGCTGGTGAAAGATAGAGAGGACATCATTGCCACATCAGTCATTCTTGAGGAACAAGTGGTCCTGCCTGATGTGGAGGACATTCCTCATGCTATTGCTCTACTGATGGGTCTGCTTTTTGCCCTTAATATAGACTATCCAAAGGAACTCAGGTACACATTTCAAGTTTTTCAAAAGATCCTGATGAACATCGGCGGAGGTCAGTGTTCCTCCCTTGTGCATGGTTTGAGAAACAGACTCTTGCGAAAAACCATGTAGATTCTCCTGAAATGTCTCATCTCATGACTCATGGATGTCTGAGCTTTTTGAAAGCATTCAACGTTTCCTGTTAAAAATTGTTCCAAAGGTCATATAGAAGTTTGGCACATGGTTTGGAATTCTTGTGTTTTGTTTGTTATTTCATCTGTTTAGGTTTATTCCATCAGAAAATAGTCATATCAGTTCAAAGCCAATCAAATGCATAGGTTGATAAAAAGTATTGCAAAAAAGAGGTCAACATAAGACCAAACGATAGTTGACAAGATTAAAATGTGCACTATTTGTTTAGAACTACTATTTTGAATTGTATCATTTAAATTTTATTTTATTGTTTTTATTTGTGCAAGGTTTTGTCAGATGCTTTAAAAGTTTATGCACTTGAATTAATGTGCAATTACTTGTCTCAATTAAGACATTAAATATGTTATAACTGTAAGACCTTGATAAGCTGCTGTGTTTATTAATGTCCTTTTTGAGTGCAGACTGTTCTAAAAAGTTTTCACCATTCATTACAAAACAAAACAGCTTCAGTAAATGTTGCAGAGCTGTAACTTCATTACTGCTAAATAAATAAACGTATTGCTTCTCTGTTTTTGGAGGTAAAATTTATCACTAAATGGAGCATTTTATGTGTGAAGCATTTGCAAATGGAGCATTTTATGGGTTACATTAATCATATGAACGTTTTAAATTTCCAGTATACAGCGCCCCCATCTTTTTTCGATATGGCAAATGTTTTAAATGATTTAGTTAAGTTGACTTAAACATTTCTTCCAAATGAACTGATACTTTTAAATTGAGTCAACATACATTTATGGATTACACTGACTGTACCAGTCAGTTCTCTCAATTAAAAAAGCAACCCCAAACTAGTTTTGACAACGTCGTCGTCGTCGTCGTCTTCCTCCGCTTATCCGGGTCCGGGTCGCGGGGGCAGCATCCCAACTAGGGAGCTCCAGGCCGTCCTCTCCCCGGCCTTGTCCACCAGCTCCTCCGGCAGGACCCCAAGGCGTTCCCGGACCAGATTGGAGATGTAACCTCTCCAACGTGTCCTGGGTCGACCCGGGGGCCTTCTGCCGGCAGGACATGCCCGAAACACCTCCCCGGGGAGGCGTCCAGGAGGCATCCTGACCAGATGCCCAAACCACCTCAACTGGCTCCTTTCGATCCGGAGGAGCAGCGGTTCTACTCCGAGTCCCTCCCGAATGCCCGAGCTCCTCACCCTATCTCTAAGGCTGAGCCCGGCCACCCTACGGAGGAAACTAATTTCGGCCGCTTGTATCCGCGATCTCGTTCTTTCGGTCATTACCCAAAGCTCATGACCATAGGTGAGGATTGGGACGTAGATCGACCGGTAAATCGAGAGCCTGGCTTTCTGGCTCAGCTCCCTCTTCCCCACGACAGATCGGCTCAGCGTCCGCATCACTGCAGACGCCGAACCAATCCGCCTGTCGATCTCCCGATCCCTCCTACCCTCACTCGTGAACAAGACCCCGAGATACTTAAACTCCTCCACTTGAGGTAGGACCTCTCCCCCGACCCGGAGGTGGCAAGCCACCCTTTTCCGGTCGAGAACCATGGTCTCAGATTTGGAGGTGCTGATCCTCATCCCAGCCGCTTCACATTCGGCCGCGAACCTACCCAGCAAGAGCTGAAGGTCAGAGCTGGATGAAGCTAGGAGGACCACATCATCCGCAAAAAGCAGAGACGAGATTCTCCTGCCACCAAACTCGACACACTCCACACCACGGCTGCGTCTAGAAATTCTGTCCATAAAAGTGATGAACAGAACCGGTGACAAAGGGCAGCCCTGGCGGAGTCCAACCCTCACTGGGAACAGGTCCAACTTACTACCGGCTATGCGGACCAAACTCACGCTCCTCTGGTAAAGGGACTGAATGGCCCTTAACAGAAAGCCACCCACCCCATACTCCTGGAGCGTCCCCCACAGGGTGCCCCTGGGGACACGGTCATGAGCCTTCTCCAAATCCACAAAGCACATGTGGATTGGTTGGGCAAACTCCCATGCCCCCTCCATCACCCTTGCAAGGGTATAGAGCTGGTCCACAGTTCCACGGCCAGGACGAAAACCACATTGCTCCTCCTCTATCTGAGATTCAACTATCGATCGGACCCTCCTCTCCAGTACCTTGGAGTAGACCTTTCCAGGGAGGCTGAGGAGTGTGATCCCCCTATAGTTGGAACACACCCTCAGGTCACCCTTCTTAAAGATGGGGACCACCACCCCGGTCTGCCACTCCCTAGGAACTGCCCCCGATGACCACGCAATGTTGTAGAGACGTGTCAACCATGACAGCCCTACAACATCCATAGCCTTGAGATACCCAGGACGAACCTCATCCGCCCCCGGGGCTCCGCCGCTGTGTAGTTGTTTGACTACCTCAGCAACTTCTGCCCCCGAGATCGGACAGTCCATCCCCAGGCCTCCCAGCTCTGGTTCCTCCTCGGAATGCGCATTGGTGGGATTGAGGAGCTCCTCAAAGTATTCCTTCCACCGTCCGACTATAGCCTCAGTTGACGTCAGCAGCTCCCCATCCCCACTGTAAACAGTGTGAGCGAGTTGCTGCCTTCCTCTCCTGAGGCGCCGGACAGTTTGCCAGAACCTCTTTGGAGCCGATCGATAGTCTTTCTCCACGGCCTCACCAAACTCCTCCCACGCCCGAGATTTTGCCTCGGCAACTGCCACTGCTGCACCCCGCTTGGCTATCCGGTACCTGTCTGCTGCCTCCGGAGACCCACTGACCAGCCACGCCCTGTAGGCCTCCTTCGTCAGCTTGACGGCTCCCCGAACCTCTGGTGTCCACCAGCGGGTACGGGGGTTGCCACCACGACTGGCACCGGCCACCTTACGACCACAGCTAGCAACAGCCGCCTCGACAATCGCAGAGTGGAACAAGGCCCACTCGGACTCAATGTCCCCCACTGCTCTCGGGACGTGGTCAAAGCTCTGCCGGAGGTGGGAGTTGAAGACCGTCTTGACAGGTTCTTCTGCCAGGCGTTCCCAGCAGACCCTCACTATGCGTTTGGGTCTGCCAGGTCTACGCAGCATGTTCCCTTGCCATCTGATCCAACTCACCACCAGGTGGTGATCAGTTGACAGCTCCGCCCCTCTCTTCACTCGGGTGTCCAAAACATACGGCCGCAGGTCAGATGATACGACTACAAAATCTATCATCGACCTGTGACCTAGGCTGCCCTGGTACCAAGTGTACCGGTGGGCATCCTTATGTTCGAACATGGTGTTCGTTATGGCCAAACTGCGGCTTGCACAGAAGTCCAATAACAAAACACCGCTCGAGTTCAGATTAGGTGGGCCGTTCCTCCCAATCACACCCCTCCAGGTCAAGCTGTCATTGCCCACGTGAGCATTGAAGTCCCCCAGCAGAACAATGGAGTCCCCTGATGGAGCACTATCTAGCACTCGTCCCAGAGACTCCAAAAAGGGTGGGTACTCTGAACTGATATTTGGCCCATAAGCACAAACAACAGTCAGGACCCGTTCCCCGACCCGAAGGCGCAAGGAAGCTACCCTCTTGTCCCCCGGGGTAAACCCCAACACACAAGCAGAGAGTCTCGGGGCTAACAAAAAGCCAACCCCAGCCCTCCGCCTCTCACCCGGAGCAACTCCAGCAAAGTAGAGTGTCCAACCCCTCTCCAGGTCTCGGGTTCCAGAGCCAATGCAATGTGTCGAGGTGAGTCCGACTATATCTAGCCGGTACCGCTCAACCTCTGCCACAAGCTCCGGCTCCTTCCCCGCCAGCGAGGTGACGTTCCATGTCCCAAAAACTAGTTTTCTTGTCCGGGGATTGGACCGCCAAGGCTCCCGCCTTGGTCTGCCACCCGATTCGCATTGCACCGGACCCTTCATGTTCCTCCTGCGGGTGGTGGGTCCACAGTTGGACGAGCTCATGTATCCGGTTCGGGCTGGGCCCGGCCGGGCCCCATGGGCGAAAGCCCGGCAACCAGGCGCTCGCTCACGGGCCCCAACCCCAGGCCTGGCTCCAGGGTGGGACCCCAGTAACCCTCCGGGCCGGGTACTCCGACTCTTCGTTTTAACCGCCATGAAAGATCCTTCGAACCGTTCTTTGTCTCACCCTTCACCTAAGACCAATTTGTCATGGGAGACCCTACCAGGGGCACTAAGTGCCCCAGACAACATAGCTCCTAGGATCATTAGGGCACTCAAACTCCTCCACCACGATAAGGTGACGGTTCAAGGAGGAGTTTTGACAACGTAAAATTATTAATTGTGGTTAGAAGTTTTAAAGTTAAAAATAAAATAGAAGTTGAATCAACTCTTGATTATAAATTAAACTAACTTAAAAACATGTTGGTATAACAAGAGAGTTTAATTTGGGATAAAATATGGTAATGTTAAGACAACAATTTTTGTTATATACACATATATATATAAATATATATATATATATATATATATATATATATATATATATATATATATATATATATATATATATTCCATTTAATCCAGCGTTATTGTTGCAAAGTTTCCACTCGCTGATTACTTTGGGCCAGGCCTAGTCAAAGCCCAGGGCTGTTTTTTAGTCCCAGTCCATCCCTGGGCGTCACTCACCCTTTCTCATGGTCTGCTGAGTTTTTCTGCATTTCTCCTCTGCTGGAGGTCTGTGTGGTCTGTGTTATGTTTACCGTGTTGTATTGCTGCTGTAGCGCAGAAGCTGAATACGTCAGGTGTTCAGAGTACTTTTACCCCAGGCTGCGCTGCGTTCTCAATTATTGGTTCCATCACTTTATTTATGCTATTATTTCCAAATTCCTAAATTCAATGCTCTTAAGACTCTTTAAGACACCGCGGGTACCCTTGGGTGACATTAAAGTGACAATGTGTAGTTTTTACCATTAATTTCTGGAAACATCCATCAAAATGTTGTTGAAAAAGAATTAAATGTTGCCCAGTTGTTGAAAAATATTGGACGTCTTTGTATCATCTAACCATAAAAATCTGGTCTAAAATACATGGGAGCGGGTCTAAGTCTCTGGGCGGCACCATATTAGACGCCATGGTTCCTTCTACAGGAGCCCATGAGGACAAAATGCATTTACTGACTTGTAACAAACAATTAAAAAACTTTCTCCATTCATGAATGCTGTTTTACACATTTACTTCTTCACTTGTTGGAAGTGATGAAAAGGAGTCTGATGTGCTTGTTATTTTGCTGAAGTTTGTACTCCAGATGGCTTTTTGACCCTATGTGGCATTTGAAGGGTTAAACTTCTCAAAATGATGAACACTTTTATGTGTTTGAGCAGGACTGAAGTTGTTTGACAGATCTTTGAAAAAAAGCAAATATATATACATATATTAATTCCCATCTCACCGTCCACTGGCGGTCTCATCCTTCCTAGCTCAGGCCCTCTACCACAGGCCTGGGAGCTTGAGGGTTCTGTAGTATCTTAGCTGTTCCTATCTGCACTTTTTTGCACTGAGATGCCTGATGTTTTTCCTGGGATCTGCTTTAGCCACTCCTCCAGTTTGGGGGTTATTGTCCTGAGTAAAGTTTTGACCCACCTTCTCATTCAATGTGTTGTCTTTATTTGAATGACCATTTAC